CTCTCTCGCGCCGCTGGAGTATTGGTGACGCTAATGCCCTCTTTTACATAATCTACATAATCGCAAGCACGGAAATACTCTGTTGCCCGAGCTTGACTGTCCTGCGATGACCTGAAGCTGTACCAGGCGCACAGCGAGCGAATGACCAACGCTTTCTGTCGATCTTTCGACGAAGCACTCTCACCGCAGGTAGGTGGGAGATTAGACTGCACGTTTGTCTCGAACGGTCAGCCACATGTTTCTCGATCTGAATCCAGGATCTTGGGCGCATGGGAAGCAAGCCCGAGGAGAAGCGCTCGATCCTGCATCGATAACTCTTCCTCTGAGATGTATTGTCTCAGCCGAACTTCTGCAGCGACTGCAGAAAGAAAGAGAAAAAAAACAAGAACTTTATGGCTCAATAACTTATCGAGCATGACCACGGATGTCACGCTGTCAAGTGGCAATCATATCTGTCTTTCAAGGGCCATGATCGGGCACAGGTAAAGGCTAGTCTTGCGAGCCCCTCGACATCAAAAAGAAAATGCAACTTGCTGAGTCGTGCGACATAGGTCGAAAGGGCAATGGCGTAGCGCAGACTAGCGTTCGGTTCGATCAAGCCCTCCTTCCCCGAGAATCCCACGGACAGGACTCTGACTTGGTTTCTGGATGTCATCGATGCTTCTCACTACGAGCTGAGGCCCCTGTGGCAATCAGGCTCTACTGCTGACTGTCTACGTGAGCGTCCATGTAGAGGGAAGCTTGTGGCAGGGGTTTGTGGATATCCTGGATTTCGGGCCGCTACTCGCATGAAGCTATCACGACTTGTCAGGCGGTGCTTCAGCTGGGTCCCCTGGGCCTCGATGTCGGCTGAGGGTAAAGAGACGGTCTTGATTGCAGCAGGGTTTGATTCCTCCGGACATGGGAGGATCCTTGGATAGTGAATGTCCCGTCTTGGGTTTCTGAGCGCCACCCCAGGGCCTCTTGATCAAAGCAATTCCAAAATGTGGCATCGTGGATCTCCGCAAAGTCTACTCCCTGGGCCTCTACAAACCATGAACCCGTGTCGAGAGGTTACTTTCCACGCCCAGGAGCCCCAGCTTGGTCTCTTTTCCCCGCTGCGTAAAGGTTAACATCACGCCGGGAGTCAGACAGCACGGGGCACAGCCCTATATTGTGATTCAGATCGATTAGCAAAGACACCCACCTGCCTTGATCCTTGCGTTGGCAACAACAACAATATTAATAGTAATAATAGCTTATGAAGGCCTGAAGACATAAACAAATTGGCGAACTGGACGGACCTTGCATGAAGCTTGATGCTTGTTTGCTTCGAACCACCTTGGACATTCCTCAACGAACATTGAGTTCGTCACATTTCGTGGCAACCGACACATGTACACGTACAAAGTTTCCAAGCTGCTTGGCGGAAGCCGAGACCCCGCCGTTAATGATCTGTGCCATCCGAGATTCCATGATGGAGGCTTTGGCACTGCTCTTCAAGCGGCGTCTGCGTGCTGGGTAACCCCGGGACCAAAGAAGGATGGTGCTTCATCGTCCACTCCAGACCTTCAGATTTCCAGACTTCGGACAAGATCCTGCGGCCGCACGGAATCAAGGAAAGAAGTTGTTCGGGTGCCAGCCTTGCCAGTCTGCCCGACAGCTCGAAACGCTGGTCTCGTTGTGAGGGTGCTCTTTGGCGTTTCAAGTGCCGTGGGAGGGAGGGGGGGAGGAGCAGCACCACATACCTTTATTGTACTGATGTCGTCCCAACTTGCGCATTGATCTAGATAGGTAAGGAAGTCTCAGCACATCTGACATCCTGACGATGGTTGTCTGGGATGGGATAGGAGATCGCTGGACGATCAGAACGGGACGTCTGCCAACCACCAGCCGCCGGCTCTCGCTCCTAGGGGTCCCTCGATGTCCCCCTTCCTCCCCATACGGACCTCGGAATTGGGTTTTATGCCTGGATTTGGATGCTGATTACCAACATATAGTTGGGACGGCAATTAACCAAAGTCAAATGCGAATAACCCTTTGCGCTTATGAGCCTTAAGGTTGCGCGAGCCCCGCGGAGCATCCTGCTGGTATTTGCATCGGTTCCTCGTGACCCCCGAACTCAATGGGAACTGTCCTGGAACGCTTTGCAATACCAGTCCATCTCCTTTCGTCCACGGGCTCAGACCATGCTGGTGACACACACAGGGCTTCTCCTCGCTCAGGAAAAGGAATGAGAGGCGAAGGGCCGGGACGAATAAGCCGAGCTCGGAGACGCGACAAGAATAGCACAAACCACTCGTCTATATCTTGAGCGGCAGAATTAGGCTGATGTTTGGCCGGCACGTGTAGCAGCTTATACCCATGCGTGCGCCGTAAAGCAGCAAGAGACGTCTCCTTAACTCTCAGCATGCCTGTAGAGTTTGCGTGTATTGTGATGTTTGAGAATCACAACTCGAAAGGCTTCGCCTCGCTATAGTGCACGATAATAAGGTGACGGATGGTATACGGTCAGCCGAGGGACTCGCAAGTCACGGTGAAGGGCCGTGAACGTTACTGAGAAGGAGGCTCTTTGGATGAGCTAGCATAGGCTGGTAAGTTGGAAAGTTGGAAGAGCAGGAGAACGAAAAGGGAAAAACCATATTTGGTAAAGTCCAACCTTATCTCCTAAAGATTAAGTCCCCGGCTCCGAGTCTCGAACCCCCTTCCCTCAAGGAGCCCGGCCGAAAGTGGAGTCTTTTCTAACTTTCGGCTGTTGCATGTATCGAGTCGACTGGAAGCGGGGAGTGTTGCGTGTTGCCCTTACTGGTGGTCCTCCACTTTATCGGTGCCTCAAGTTCCCTGGCGGGTTCAGAAGGAAGACCAAGCTTTTCTTGTACGACCCCGGTGTTCCTTAAATTCCTCAACACGCTTGGAACGAAAAACATTGTTTCTCCGCCGGGGCCAAGCGGGCATTGACTGGGTCCTTCCGGTTTATGGGTCATTTGCCGCCCGTTTCAGCGGTTGCGGAAGGCAACTAAACTGGCCTAGGGAAGGAAGGGAGTGGAGCTCTGTGATCAAACGCCGAGGCGGAGAGGACGCCGAAAGGCAGAGAGTGGCACGTCTGGTATGCACCGAGGACACTGCTTTGAGCCCGGAGGCCGACAGACTGGGATGAAGAGCGTTGGGGGCGAGTGGCCTTGGCGGTTGAGTGATCGAGTCTGTCGATCCGGCGCTTTCGGAACGCTTGATCGACAGGCCAACAAGGCGAGTTTTCTGACTCGTTGTTATTTTGATCACGGTTTTCAGAGGGTTCGCTGCAAATACCAGGGCGAGAGACGGAAGGTGCTCGCGAAGTTAGCCGATCGATGATGAGTCGTTGCAGCGGTACGTTTCTATAGACCAACCGACCTGTTCGCCTAGTTGCTTACTATACTATGACTGAGGCACGGAACACGCTCACATGGCGTTTATTCTCAGATACACTCGAGGTTGGTGCTGCAGAGTTCTTTCCGAGAACCCGATGCTCGCGTTCGGTATTCGGGACCTGCATGACTGGCCAGCATTCCCATGCATCATGATCATCTAGGACACGTCGAGCTAACAGCGGAACGATCCAATACCAAGCAAACCCTCTTCGCGTCCCCGGACAAGCCGGAGCATTCGCAATGAGGGAGAATAGAAGATGACAGGGTAAAACTTTCGCGTCGCCTGGAGGCAGTGTGATACCAGGGACACAATGGAAAGACGACATATGTTTTCGCCCAGGCACACCGTCCCAACCACCCCTATCAGGCGTGTGCATAATGCACACACGCAGATAAGAGAGGAAAGGAGATTATGCCAGGAACAAGAACACAGAGGACCGACTTCCCGTGAGTTCGAAAAATAGAGGTCTACCGTAAGGGTAGGTTTGCATCCCCGTAGGGTGCATACCAGTTGGTTAGACTGATAAGAACAGATACTACACTTGATCTAAGCCTTGTGGCCAAGAGAGCTGGAGAAGAGAAGAGAAGAGAAAGTGAGAGAGACTTGAGAGAAAGTGGGCTTTTTATATGCGATTGGAGAGGGATAGAGCTAAGTAGGTGGGTGAGGCCAAATTGGAGGACTGGGTGAGGCCAATTTTCAATTGAGGCCAAATCGGTTCGGGGCGAGGTCGAAGCCGAACCCTAAGGGCTTGGGAGTTCTCATTGGTTGTGTTTTTCTGGAGCGGTATGGTTGCATGCGACCTTGAGTCACCTACAAAAGAGAACTCTGGGTGAGTTGCTAGAAGCTGTTGACATTAGGAGATGGATGACCGTGCCTGCTAGGCACACAAGGTGCGATGGACAGCCCGTAGAGGCGGCTCCGAGCATAGTGCACTTGTGAGATTCGCTTCCTCTAAAGTAGCACAGAGTCTTCAGTATCCCAAGTATACATCTTTATGTCTCTGGTGACCAAAGTATGTTATGTGAGGCGGAAAAGGCAAAGGAACTGAGCTGCCCGAGGAGTTGATGACAACCCACAAGATCAGCTGGAGCTTTTGAACTCAACCGAAACCGGACACACGCCTCAGCGCTGATGGACTCTACAATGTACGATACTCAATATTGCCGATTTGAAAGAGATGGTGGGATATAAACTCCTCTCGTAACAGAAGTGAGTACCCGGCCGGAACACGGAACGACGGAATGACGTTGAATGTGGGTGGTGGGGCCGCCGAGGCCGTTCAGCTCCGGGAAAACAATGCTGTACCTATGGCCGCTTCCGTGCCCCACCACGCGGCCCCCAAAACACGCTGGAAGATGCGCTAAGTCACTGACGCGTGACGCCATACACTGCCAAAAAAAAAAAAAAAGGCATTCTCAATCAATCAACGCGCCATCACCCAACCCATGTCACTTTAAAGTGCTCGCCCGCAATTCCACTCCCCATGCACCTTATCCACGTTTGCTGGGCATTGCAGTACGTGCTCGACGCTCCGTTCTAACATTATCCTTTTCTACATTGGTCTTTTTTTGCAATTATTTCCAAGTCACCCTTTACTACCTCCCCATGAATCCATGTCTTCCACCAAACTGTTCCCGCCCTCAGACGCGTCGCGTCAAAGATCGGGAATCCTCACGCCCAGCTCCGATGGTTCTCTGAACTCCAAACATGCGGTTCTGCCGCCGCCCGTCGAGACGTTGCAGCGAAGGCGGAGCGGTTCTCACGCAATGGGAGACTTGTTGAAGGCTGCGATTGTCGTCAAGGTATGTCGCTATATCCAACATGATGTCGCGTCGCGCTCGGCTGACCCCTCGCGCAGGCGCACCCTTCTAGCATCCTCGCGAAACCGTGCACACTGCAGCCCCTCATGCTGCTCCCCCGCGAATACCTCTCGCTGTCATGCCTCGATCTCGGCGCTCCACAGGGTGACCTCCCTTCCAGCCGCTTCTACGAATCCCATGTCAAGATTCTCGACCTCGAAGACCGCGTCGCCGAGAAGCCGAGCGTGCTCCTCGCGCGCAACGACGCCTCCAAGTCAATCTACGCGCTCGAACGCGCCGCCGTCTCCGGGTACAACCTGTATACGGTCTGCAAGCTCGGCCCGTGGGTGGATCTATTGGCGTTGTCTGACAAGGCCACGGTGACGGGGAAGCATGTCGCCCGTATGCGGATGGCGGAGGAGGCGAGGGAGTCTCAGCAGGGGCAGGAGCTGCCGTTGACGACGCCGGGCCTGCACAAGGGACACAAAGAGAAGAGACTGGCGATCGAAGCGCTGCAGCAGTCGATTGTGAGGAAGAGGGGCCGCTCGCAGTCCGTATCGACCTTTGACGAGGCAAGGGCAGAGAAGCGGACGAGGTCTGACGACGATATCTCACGCCCGCAGACGCCAAGCGGGTTGGGCCAGACGGTGGAAGCGAAGCCTGAGCTGACGGAGTGGATCGAGACGCACCTGGACGCTGTGGAACCAACATCACAGCCGGTTCCCGAACCCAACGCCCAGCAGACGGCTGGCGATATCATGGACAACATAAGAGCGCAATATATGGAGGCGCTTTACAGGTCAATGGTAGGTTTGCTTTCCTGTATGAAGGGAACCGAGCTGACTCTGCCACAAAGGGATCTCTGGCGTATTTTGCAAAGGGACCGCTATCTCGAGCTCGCGCCGCGTTCCATCTTGACTGCGACGGCGCCATGAATATGAATGATCTCATCGACTTCCTGAAGAGTCTCGTTATGACCACAGTCCAGATCGACAAGAAGTACCGCGAAACGATACCCAATGTAATCTCCAAACTGAAGACGCATATCGACAGTTCCGATGATGGTAGCAAGCCCAAGAGGAGGAAGTCCAAGAAGATGAAGCTGGGCAAAGACGGCATGTACCCCGAGGAAGACGACGATGTGCGTAAGTGGTGGAGCTTGAACAAACCGGAGTTCAGTGACGAGGACAAAACCATCACGCCGGCGCAGATCAAGTCGCACGTGTCTCTGTTGAGGACCCGCGAGACGCAGCTCCAGATGATTCTCATCCTAGAGATTCTGGCGCTGGAGCCTCTGCGGACGGCCGAGGGGGACGGAGAGACCCAGCTGCCTGGGCTCCCTGGTGAGATGGAGGTTGAGAAAGCTGCCGAGACTCAACCGAAGAAGCGGAGCAAGCACAACTTCCCCGTATTGGTGGACGTACACGCCGATCGATTGTGTATCTGGCAGTCAACTGCTTCTGACGAATTGAGGATGTTGGAGGACTCTCAGGTGACTGCGCCATTAGGCGGAGAGCCGGCTCAAAAGGCCTCTTCAGATCCTCTGAGGGACTTTTGCACCGACATCATTATGCCATTGTAAGTCTGACTTGCCCCATCAGTTGCTCTCCTGCTGACAACGTTAAGCTTCGCCGCCCGGCTGCCTGATATATGTGACTCAATCAACCGGAAACTCGGCGGACCAGTCATCATTGCTCCACCCCAGCCCAAGGCGAGACCTTCATCGTCATTGTCAGCTAACAAATCTGACGCAAGGCCGGGAGCTGCCGCGAAGCGACCTTCTAAGCCGGCGACGAAGAATATTGAGAAGGCGTTGTTCAAGGAGCAGTCGCGGCGCAGTGTCTCCAGAGGTCCCAGCAACGCAATCGCGCTGTTGAGATCGGCGACGTCTGCCAACATCCCTAGTTTCAAGCGGGAGACAAGCGATCTCGACCGGAAATCGTCTGTGGATAGGACAGGCCTGCTTTCCAGGAGTAACAGCCTCACAGCTCTAGACGACGTTAAGGCGCAGAAGAAGGCCCTTGTCGAGGCCGAGTTGAAGGATGCTATCACGGCCATCCGGAAACCGAACCGCGATTTGGCTGGCAAGGCTATTGTTGAGGCTGCGGAGAAGCGGGCTTCCGGTGGTCTATCTTCGATTAGGAGTATGTTTTGCGTCGTGCATCTTGGACGATCGTTTGCTGATAAACCGCCTCAGAATCCAAGAAACCGACTCGACACCCGCTCTTTGACTCGGTGCAGGTGAAGGTCACGCCGGCCAACCACCGTTTCCGGGATGCATTGGCTGCGGAGTCGAAGGGCTCTAGCAGTATGGCAATACCGATGTCGAGTTTACCGCCATCTAGCGCATCAAGGGTTCCCTCTACCGGACCGCGGAGGGGCCACATTGACATCCTCGGCAGCACGCCTTCGTCTGCGATCCAAGTCACCCCCGTGAAGCGCGGGGCGGCACTCTTGGGCCCTTCGCCAACGGACGAGCCAGCCATCCCACCCTCGTCGCCCCTAATGGCGAGGAAGCCCTCAAGGGCGCAGTATCTGGGCGTGCCCGACAGCGTGATCAGGTCACGGCATCAACCTGTGCGGTCGCAGTCGCCAGATGTGGGCCTACCGGTGACGCCCTGCAAGCAGCGGACTGTGGATGTGTTGGGAGACAAGGTAGCGGCCACGCCGACAAGCAAGTCGGCTCCGCCGCCGCCGCCGTCGCCACCAAAGGAGCAACCGAAGTCGATTTACGCGCGACTCGGATGGGATGACGACTTTGACGACTTTTAATGATCTTGCGTTCGCATTGTTACGGCGTGTATGGGCTTTTCAAACATGCATACGAATACCCAAGGGAGGGGACTTGGACTTTGAACTATTAGGGGTTAAGGAACGGGCATAGTGAAACATACTTGTTGATGAACATGACATAGCATAGCATCGCTTTGGGGCAGAGGTTTTGCACCTGTGTAGGCAGCATTGTTCCTAAAGGAATTTTTCCAGGGATAGATTACGTTTTTCAAAGCGCGGGCCCGGCCTACCCGCTTAACAAACTCCATCGCTGTTTTAATCCGTCTTTTGCTCCTCTGGCCTCTTTTCTACAAACATGATGGGCAGGTCCCTAACGTCTACGTGCTCCTGCGAGCCCAGGTCGATTACTCTTACCGCCTCGATATTGACGAGGCCCTCCTTCAGGGGTAGGAACTGAAGGTCTACAACGTGGCAAGCCCCAGGCGCGAGCGGACCGACCCTCGTGTCAGCTGTCAAACAGACGACCTCGGTTGTGTCCACGACCGAGTTGCGCTGCATGGCGTGCAGAACGTTCTCGTCCAGCACGGCGTCGGCGAGGTCTTTGGCATCGGCGGCCGTTTTGCCCTTGCCGCTCGTCGAGGGCGGGCGCATAAGGCGGACCTCATTGCGCCTGCGCTTCGAGAGCGCCACGAGGGCGAGCTTGCGCGGCGGGACGCTCGAGTTGTTGGCCTTTCCCGTGCTGCGGTTCACGACGTAGACGGTCCAGGAGAAGATCTCGCCGGCGTAGACGGGCTCTGTCGGTCCGCAAAAGGTCATGGTGATGCCAAGCTCTGGCAGCGGGGCTTCAACAGTGCGGGTGGCGGCCTCGAGAGCGGGGAGAGAGTCCGGGCGGGAGACGGCGGGTGCGACGAGCGACTGAGCCGCCTCCATGCCGCTGATGGAGAGCTGTGAAGGACGGTGGGACCGCTGGATGGGCTGCATCGGTTGCATGGCGGCGTTGAAGCCTGGGTTTACGGGGAGGGTAAAGTCGAGGGTGGTGGTCCAGGTCATGCTGAGGCGCGGAGTGCAGATGCCGGGGTTCCTCTGGATGACAGCCTCGATGTGGATGTCGAGGTCGCGGTTGGGATTCTTGGAAGGAAGATCAAGCTGCTGCGGGGAGAGGCGGTAGAGGAACGTGACGTGGTCGTGCGGGACGCAGGTCATGGGGAGGGTGAGACCCGCGGGCCCGCTAAGGTCATCGACGACGCCGCCGTCGGCGACGGAGAGGGTGATGCTGGTCAGGTCGATGGGGCAGTCGAAGTAGGGGGTGAAGTCGATCTCGAGCAGGGCGACGAGTGCTGGGCTTGTGGGCATGGTGTTTGGGCGTGAGAAGCGGACGCGGGTATGTACGGCGGGGAAGATGCGGGTGCGGAGCTGGGAGAGGGCGCGGAGAGGCCGGGAGCTGTCCTTTGATTGGGTCATAGGGGCGACGCGGGAGACGCGGAGGGCCGAGAGGCGCGGGACGACGCCGCCGAGCGCCGGGTCGTTTGTGAAGGGCTCGAGGAGGTTCAAGCCCGAGGGGACGCCGGATTGGAGGTAGCCTGCGCCGCCGCCGCCGAGGCGAAAGTTTGGGGAGAGAGGAGTGGCTGAGCCCGAGGCCCCGACGGACGCGGGCCTGAGCCCGGCGGAGGCCGTGAATATGGCAAAGGGGCCTTGAAGGCGGATGCGTGGCCGGGCGAGGAAGACAGGGAGCTTCCAGACGGCGTAGATGTGGGGCTCTCTCTTGCGGTCGTTGGGCTTGACACCGTTCTCGTCCTTTTCGACGGAGGAGTCGTCATCGTCATCGACCTCGGGCTCGTCCACGACGATGAAGGGGTCCGATGTGTCCTCAACGGTGCCCTGGAAGATGATGTCCGCCGAGGGCTTCTCGCGGTCCGAGGCATGGCTGTTGACGATCTGGGTCTCCAGTTGAATTACCAGCCGGCTGAAGTGGGAGCGCAACGTCTTTTCGTCCATGAGGGGCACCCTCAGAACCAAAAGCACGTCGACAGATTCATCTGAGATGTGTTAGCGTTGAGCGTCTTCCAGTGCTCTAAGATGGAAATGTACCAAAGTAGAGTGTATCCCTCCGTTTGATGGAGTCAAATAGGGCCTTGGTGTCATCGACACCCTTAAATGCTTCTTCGAGATCGAGGTTTGTTGCTTCGGGGATGAAGTATGTGAGAAACGCATTATCAAGGAAGTCGGCCACCGCGGTGGGCTCTTGTATTTGTTCGTTTATAGCCATGTTGGGCTACCTCTTGTCTTGTGTGATATCACGGCTCATCTCAGTTATGAGGAACTGAGGATAGTTTCACAATGTGTGTCCGTCTCCGATACTTGGCCGGGCTCAATGCCGTGGAAGGAAAGGTCTCTCAGATTTCTCACAGAACAGAGCTCGAAAGAAAGGCCCAGTTAGAATTGCGCAGTTGGGGTAAAGCACTCTGCGCTTCTGAGTCGTACAATGCAATAAGAGCTTCGGTGAGAGGTCCAACGGTTGGAGTTACAGACAGTTTGAGTTGGACTGTCCATTGCCTCTGGCACAGTGCAGTAATTCCCCTAACTGAGACCGACCGGCTTACCTCAGCAAATCTAAGATGGCTTGACAGGCTAAAGAGTGGGCCCATCCAAGCTACCCCAGTCCGTGCACCAAGCGCCAAATTGCTCATTCCGACGGTCGCAAATATTCGCAGCCTTTTCTCGCGTCCCCTCCACGCGACGACCTGCTCAATCCTCCACGTCGACCCGCCTTCCACAGCATCTTCACATCGCCGCTAGGATCGCCATCTAGGCAAGAACATCGCAAGAAATACTCCTACCCTACGAGTCACTGGTCCGATCAACCAAGCCATCATGAATGGTGCCGGCAGCCCATACGGCCAGCCTCCGGCTTGGCAGGAACATCGCACGCCCGACGGCCGAGCCTACTACTACAACGCAGCTACCAAGGTCACACAATGGACCAAGCCCGAGGATATGATGACTCCGGCTGAGGTATGGATTGACCTTGTGGGTGGCTTATGATCATTGGCTGATTCGTGATTACAGAGAGCCCTCGCCAACCAGCCGTGGAAGGAGTACACCGCCGAAGGCGGTCGCAAGTATTGGTACAACACGGAGACCAAGACGAGCTCTTGGGAGATGCCTGATTTGTACAAAAAGGCTCTGGGCGCCACCAGTGGCCCAAGTACGCCTGCGTACGGATGCTCTGACCCTCAATTCCCTTCGTCGACTGACAGCAATAGGCCTGCGCCGTACGATCGAGGAGCACCTTCTGACAGGTATTCCAATGACCGCTACGATTCTTACCGCGACCATCGCGATACCTTCCACGAGTCGCGCCAGTTGACGTTTGGTAACGACACGACAGCTAAAGCATTTGTCCCCGCGAGCAACGAGCCCGAGTTCGCCACACAGGAAGAGGCCGAAGCTGCGTTCAACAAGCTGCTCAAGCGCAGTGGCGTACAGGCTGACTGGACCTGGGAGCAGACGCTGCGAACTATCGCCAAGGATCCGCAATACAGGGCAATTAAGGACCCGAAGGACCGAAAAGCAGCTTTCGAGAAGTACTGCCATGACATGATCGTTCAAGACAAGGAGCGCGCAAAGGAGAGACTGACCAAGCTGCGTACTGACTTCGAGACCATGCTCAAGCGCCACCCCGAGATCAAGCATTACACCAGGTGGAAGACGGCACGGCCCATGATCGAGGGCGAGACTATCTTCAGGTCTACAGACAACGAGGCCGAGCGCCGCCAGCTCTTCGAGGAGTACATCATTGAGCTTAAGAAGGCCCACATGGAGAACCAGGCAGCGATGCGCAAGACCGCTATGGACGGGCTGATCGATCTCCTGCCGAAGCTCAACTTGGAGCCCTACACGCGCTGGTCCGACGCGCAAAGTCTCATTTCATCCACGACGCCCTTCCAAAATGATGAGAAGTACAAAACCCTGAGCAAGTTTGACATATTGATCGCGTTCCAAAACCACATGAAGGCTTTGGAGCGCGCTTTCAACGACTCTAAGCAGGAGCAGAAGAACAAAAAGTTCCGCAAGGAGCGCAAGGCTCGCGACGGCTTCCTCTCTCTCCTTACTGAGCTCAGGAAAGACGGCAAGATCAACGCCAGCACAAAATGGCGTCAGATTTTCCCCCTCATCGAGAATGACGACCGGTACAAGGCCATGCTTGGCCAGGGCGGCTCGGGCCCGCAAGAACTCTTTTGGGACCTCGTCGAAGAAGAGGAGAAAGCGATGCGCGGCGCCAGAAATGATGTGTACGATGTCATTGACGTATGTTGACACCATCCACGTGATCCCTGCATTGTAACACTTTGCTAACTACCCGCAGGACGAACGATTTGATATCACCCCCCAGACCACGTTTGAGGAGTTCTATGCCGTTATGAAGAAGAGTCGACGTACTGCTAACATTGATCGCGATATCCTTTTGGTTCTCTTTGAACGCGTGCGTATCAAAAGCCCCTACACTAATTCAACAAAACTAATATGCGCGTTACAGGCCAAGGAGAAAAGGTCCCTGAAGCGATCGGACGACGAGAGACAGTCTGAACGTCAGCAGCGAAGGGCAACTGATGATCTTAGGGCCTACTTGAAGCGTATGGATCCCCCTATTACCCTGGATGACACGTACGAGAAGGTCAAGGCCCGCCTTGTGGACACACCCGCGTTCCAGGCTGTCACTTCGGAAGATGCTCGCATCGCCACCTTTGATAGATACGTTAGAAGACTTCGCGAGAAGGAGGAAGAGGCCGACCGCGATCGTCGGCGCAGACGTGGCCGCGACTCCAGCGAACGCGACCTGTATCGCGAGAGACCCCGGTCTAGAGGTGAGCGATCACATCGTAGCAGTGGCCGTGCTACTAGGCGAAGTCGTAGTCCGGAGCCAGACGCATATGAGGCGGACAGACGCAAAGCCATTGCCGAGCGCGAGCGTAACCACCGTAAATCGACGATGGCCGAGAGCTTGCTCTCCGTGGACCGGGAACGCCGTTTGTCACCTCCCCATCGGCGTGAGAGGGAGCGGGAGCGCGACAGAGACCGCGAACGCGAGCGCGAGCGCGAGCGCGATCGCGACCGTGACTATGATCGTCATCGCTCTCGTCGCGACGACGACGGTCACTATGAACGCGAGCGACGGGACAGGGAGGAAGAGCGAGAGAGACTTTACCGACGCCGCATGGGGTCCTATGACGAGCTCCCTTATGGGGATGAGCGCCCGTCTGGATCGCGGCGCCGTCGCGAGGAGGACGAGGATGACCGACGGGATTCCAGAGACTCAAAGGTACGACGCATCGGCTAGACCACCATGCCGCATCCGAATCAGGCCGCTGACAACCAACACAGAGAGTGAGAAGAGAAAAAACACCCCGTGAGCGCACCCCCAACGTGATATCTCGCGTCACAAGAACAGGACTCCGCCGCCGGCCGCCGCACCCACTGCTGCTGCCCCCAAGGACAAGGAACCGACGACGGTCAAGGACACTGCAAAGGAGAAGGAAACGGAAAAGGAGAAGGAGAAGGAGGACCCCGCTGGTGTCCACTCGGGATCTGAAGAAGGCGAAATCGAGGAGGACTGATCGTGTTCGCCAATGACGCCTCAGGAATGGCTGCATTGGCGGACCACGAAGAGTGACTTTCGAGTACGTATCGGAATCACCAAGCCTTCACTTGAGAGCCTGATGACCGCAGCGCGTTACAGACTACAAGGCATCACTCCCCGCTTCGCGCCTCTTTTTTCTACTACGCGTCTGCAGACGTGCCCTTACGATGCCGTTCAGTCCGCGGAGCCGGTCGTCGTAGGATCTCGATCCTCCAGATGGCCAGCTAGTTCGTATGTATCGTTTTTTTTTAAACTCTCGCTATGTTCTAATGGTTAGTATGTACACACAGTAGCAACGTGAGGAAAAAAGAATAAAAGTTGGTTTGCTTCGTAACAACGGTCTTGTGTATTTTGTTTCTTAGCTTGAGATGTGTGCCTTTGGCGCATCCAAGTGTATCTACAAATCCTGCTACAACCAAGCGTGTAGCAGAGACTGACGGCAGTCATCCTGCTTGCTCCATTGCCCCTCAATCTACGGAGTCGGTCCCGCCCCCGAATGGTCGTAGGAGACCAATAAAACCCATGGCTCGCAGCAAACTATCTGTTTGTACCATCTGACATGCGAGAGAGGGGGGCCCATATCATAAGAAACCTATGCATCTCCGTAGGACCAGGCAACAGGGGATAGACTGCCGTCGCCGTTGTTATCCGTCGGCGTCGTCGTCCTTGGGGACGTGCCATCCTCTAAACCGAAACCATGATCCTGACCGCCGGAAGCGCGCCTCCCCAGCTGCCGCTTATGCCCCTTTTGAACGCCCTGAACGCCTGAGTTGAATGCATCGTGACGAGGGAAAACATCTTTAAGGATGCCCTCTTCAACTCGTCTTGTCGTCGTCGTTGTCCAAGAAGAACTGTCGCGAGTTAGTAAAAGTTGATGGTGATTAACGATGGTTGCTTATGACTTACGAAGTTGCCGCTGGCCTTCTGCTCCTGGTCCAACTGAGAGTTGGCCTTGTTGATACGAGGGCGGAAGTTGGTAGGGTCGCGACGGAAAGAGACGTCGAGGTTCTTGAGGAAGGTGTTGCAGCCAGTCAGGAGGGACTCGGGCTTGTTAGCGTGGGCGTCAATGCCGGGCTGGCCGTCGAAGACGATGACGCGGTCGGCAAGGTAGGTGGCCATGATGAAGTCGTGCTCGACAATGAAAGCAGTCTTCTTGGCATGCATGATGAAGCGCTTGATAACCTTGGAGGCAATGATACGCTGCTCAGAGTCGAGATAGGCGGAGGGCTCGTCGATGAGGTAGATGTCAGCGGGCATGCCGAGGGCGAGGACGATGGCGACACGCTGCAATTCACCACCGGACAAGTTCTTGACCTCCTGGTCGATGAAGTCGTCGAGCTTCAGGGGCTTGACGACGTCAGTCTGGAACTGAGGCGACAGGAAGGCGGCCCTGATCTTCTTGAAGAAGAGCTGGCGGACGGTGCCCTCAAACTTGGGGGTGATGGTCTGGGGCTTCATGCTGATCTTCATCTCGGGGACGGCAGCCTTGTTGTCGGGCTTCAAGGCACCGGCAAGGAGACGGCAGAAGGTCGTCTTTCCGGTTCCGTTCTCTCCCATCATGACAATAATCTCAGAGTCGGTAAAGTCACCAGTCTCGATGCTGAGCTTGAAGTTACCAAGTGTCTTCTGCATTGCGGGGTACTTGAAAGCGCGAGACTTGTCGTTCATGAACTCATCGGCACCCTCGGAAAGCTTGAAGGTGAGGGACTCGTCACGGAAACGCAAGTTCTCGGTGGGGATGTGACCGTCGAGGAAGATGTTGATACCTTCACGGACGGACTGGGGCAGCGTGACGACACCGTAGACGGCAGGCTTTCCGTACAGAACGCAGATGAAGTCGGAGAGGTAGTCGAGGACTGACAGGTCGTGCTCGACGACGATGATGTAGTCGTCGTCGCGGAGAAGAGAGCGAATGATACGGGCAGCCGCCAGTCTTTGCTTGACATCGAGGTAGGAAGACGGCTCGTCGAACATGTACACGTCGGCCTTGCGGACACACACGGTACCAATGGCGAAACGCTGCAGCTCTCCACCGGACAAGAAGTTGATCTCACGATCCATGATATGGTTGAGCTCCAGGGTGTCGCAGACCTCCTTCTTGTTGCCAAGAGTGCTCACAGCATCAATCAAGTGCTGGACGCTCTTCTGGGGACCCTTGACGGCTCGGGGGATCTGGTCGACATACTGAGGCTTGACGACGGCCTTGAGGTCATCCTCCAGGAGCTTGGTGAAGTAGTCTTGGTTTGGCAAGTTAGTTGACTGGAGGGTGAAGGTTTAACAAAGTCGGGGAGACCTACTCTGAAGCTCGGAACCACGGAAGTGCTTGATGACATCCTCCCAGTCGGGGGGATTGTCGTAACGACCCAAGTTGGGCTTGAGCTTGCCGCTGAGAATCTTCAGGGCGGTACTCTTTCCGATACCGTTGGTTCCGACAAGACCCAAGACATTACCGGGACGAGGCATAGGCAGACGGTGAAGCTTGAAGCTGTTGGCGGAGTAGCGGTGGGTGACCTGGGTCTCAAGGTTCGTAGGCAAGTTGATAATGGTGATGGCGGAGAAGGGACACTTCTTGGGACAGATACCACAACCGATGCATAGCGACTCGGAGAGGAAGGCGATGCGGGACTCGGGGCTGACTTCGATGCAAAGCTTTCCAGAGCGGACGACAGGGCAGGACTTCTTGCACTCCTGACGACACTTCTTGGGCTTGCACTTGTCGCTGTTGACAATAGCGACACGGGTGAGCTTGTCCGACATGGTGATGATGGTGCCCGAGTGATCGAGGGCGGGGTTAACGATGAGATGGTGGGGCAAGGATTTTTGCGCGCAGATTTGGCACAAAAAACAAATAAAGAAGAGGGGGACCGCGGGCGGTTAGAAGGCAGTTGTCGTACAGCGGTTGGAGGGCAGGCGGAATCGAGTAGAAGGGACAGATTAAAGCAACAGGACCGGGAATTTCGGCGAGAATTGTCGAGGCGTCGCGACCTGGCCTTCTGAGGGTGACGGAGGGAAGAAAATATTTTGGTGTTCCAATTTGTTGCAAAGTGTCGGAGACGAGGAAGACACACGGTAATGGCGGCGAAATACAGCGGTCAGCCAATTTGTGTGCGCCGTCACTGGTTGTGAGCGTGTGAATTGGCCAGATTTGGCGGGGCAATTCCCCTACCCTACCACCTTCCAAGTTACCCCGCCAGTGAGGGTTGCCAGGTACTGCTAAAGTATCAGGCGGCGTGGAATGTGGCGGTAAAGGTACCTAGCCAGTACCTTGCCAACACCTGACATCACAACTCCTGAGTGAGGCCAAACTCATGGCCTGGAACGTCCCATGCAGATGGGCTATTCATCACCGGGCTATTCATTACCTTGCCTTGGAACGCACCTGTGCACGGTTTTACAACAAGGCTTACCGCCCGTTTATTGTCGCCGCTGGAGGTTGGCCAGCTTTGTTACAGCTGGCTCCACACCATTCTTTGCCAGCTTGCTTCCATATGCGTGCCTATTGAAGAACCGGGGGCCATACCCAAAGACAATGTTGTTGGCATGGATTAGCTGAATTTGGCCGTTCTAGCTATAGAATACCAATATGGTTCATAAAGATGGTACCATATTAAAGCATACATACCGTCAAGAATGGATGACTTGGAGCCTTGCAGTCATATCTGTCAATATGGAAGTTGTCTTTGAGCTTAGAAAATGCCCATCACACTGGCGATGTGGTCACTGTTCTAGTAATGGCTCAATTTATGACTGTACCATTACCGGGTCTCTCTGAACAGTTCGCTGCGCCTTGTCGAACAAGAAAATGCGCCCAAGCCAGTACACTTTTCATCAGAATATACAACTCAAAGTGGGCTACTGCCACTCGGATGCCAGCTTACCAGTCGGCTAAATTAGACATCGCTGCTTGCTATGCAAGTAGGCGACGCTTGTGCCCCACCGGATTTTGCTGGAAAATATGCCGTCTACTCCGTGGTTTGAGGTGCTGATTCATCCTTTGGTTTCCCTGTCATTCTAGGTGGCTTAAACTTTATTGTTTGACTTTGACATCCCAATACCGTGATCAGAGGTATAGCTGATGAGAGAAATGAGAGAACAAACTGATGCAACATTCTTTCGATCCAAAGCCGAGAACACGCATTGTAAAATCGAATGGGAGACGATGAATCCATGTTTGTTTAGCCCATAATATACGTGGCAGGATACAAGTATCATTTGATCACCGTTCTAAACACTCTCGGAGATATTGAGATTGGCGACTTTTGATATTTGCTGACATGCCTTCTATGATGGATATTCTCATTCATATGCGATGAGAAACAGCACTGTGAAGTCAATCAATATGCCTATTGGATAACCATAAAACGTGCGAATTGAGCGATGATTTCACTGTTCTCTTTACCTCGACCAGCCACGAGTCGCATTACTTGTCGTTACTCAGTCGTGCAAAGTGTCTGAAAATACCATCCAGTGCGGCATGCGGACAAAAGTTGATCCTAGAGTTGTCCGAGACTTACATTGTTAGGTTGTCCAAGAAAGGTCATGGCGATAGTCTCGGCGTCGGCCTCATCACGTGTCACCCACCAATAAACAAACTTTGATAAAGCATTTTGAGCACAGTAGCAAATCAGGCCAAGCCCTCGATATATTATACAGACAGTCGTTCCAAAACATGGCACGTTGAGAAGCGGTCATGGAGATGGAAGACACGGCCGTTTGATTGCTCTCGGAGTTGCGTTGTCAAAGGTGGGGAAGTCAAGTTAGACGGGAGCGGTCAGTTCGGCGCTGGTGCTAGCGGGGTTCCGAGTCTCGGTGAACAATGCCCGCTCGCAGCACATTCGGCGGCGTGTGCACTCTGAAGGCTGGATGCCCCACATTCTGCACTGTGCTCTACTATTCCATTCGTCCATTCACCATGTCTCCGCTGATGGGTGAGAGCAACCGTGGGTGATTGTTGTTGCCTCAGGCCTCAACACTCGA